AGCAAATCTTAGATTTCCTATAAAGGTGTGATAGGGAAAGGTTGAGAAAAGAAAGACCTAAACAAGTGTCTTCCATGAAGTCTTTGTGGGAGAGATGCATCTCATCAATGTAATCCCAGGAAAGCAAAGTTTGGGCCATTTAATAGGCCAATTACAAATCTGTGTGTGTGTGTGTGTGTGTGTGTGTGTGTGTGTGTGTGTGTGTGTGTGTGGTGTGTGTGTGTGTGTGTGTGTATACATGGATATGCCATGTGTGACTCTTTATAAAACACCACGTTCTTTTCACAATACTGTCACTCATCTTCACAATGCTGAGGATCTGTGTTATCACTTCTATTATACAGACAAGAAAATTGAAAATTAGACAGTCCAAGTGACTGGTCACCAAGCAGCTAAGTGAATCAGAACTAGACATTAGACCTTGAACTGAATCCCAGGCTCTTATATAAGAATTACATTGGAATAGCCATTACAGTAAAACGCTTGTGGCCATCTACCAAAGATATTATTGAGAAAGACCTCAAAACTGTAGCCTCTTAGGCACATTGTCAAACTCATGCAGCAGGAAAGGTTCACAGTGTGCTAAGATATTCTTCAGCGCCTAAGGCCACCAGCCTGGCAAATCAAGAGTCCAACTCTGCATGCAACTAGTAATTGTCCACAGGTCCCATGATGTAAAAAGGGTCAGGAAGCATTGGGAAAGTAAGACAAAAGTAGAAAAAAAAAAACTCAAATGATGTATAAGCTTACTGCTCCACAAAACAGACAGAATGTCCAATAGACACATGAAGAAATGCTCAAGCTCTCTAGCCATAAAAGAAATGCAAATCAAAACAACATTGAGATTCCACCTCACCCCAGTTACAATGGCTATAATCAAGAAATCTAATAACAACAGATGCTGAAGGGGATGTGGCCAAAAGGGAACCCTACTGCATTGTTGGTGGGAGTGTAAACTTGTTCACCCACTTTGGAAAGCAGTACGGAAGTTCCTCAGAAGACTCCACATAGAGCTCCCTTATTACCCAGCAATCCCACTTTTGGTCATTTACCCAAATGATCACAAACAAGGCCATTCCAAAGCTACCAGCACAACTATGTTTAACACAGCATTTTTCACCATAGCTAAGATATGGAAACCAACCCAGATGCCCCTCAGTAGATGAATGGATCAAGAAAATGTGGTATAGCCGGGCACTGGTGGCTCACGCCTGTAATCCTAGCTACTCAGGAGGCTGAGATCTGAGGATCACGGTTCAAAGCCAGCCCGGGCAGGAAAGTCCGTAAGACTCTCCAATAAACCACCAGAAAACCGGAAGTGGCGCTGTAGCTCAAGTGGTAGAGTGCTCGCCTTGAGCTGAAGAGCTGAGGGACAGCGCCCAGGCCCAGAGTTCAAGCCCCATGACCGACCAAAAAAAAAAAAAAGAAAATGTGGTATATATATATATATAGAGAGAGAGAGAGAGAGACACATATATGTGTGTGTGTGTGTGTGTGTGTCTCTGTGTGTGTGTGTGTGTGTGTGTGTATACATACATACAATGACTATGCCCCCATCAGAAAGAATTACACCGCCCCATTTGTTAGGAAATGGAAAGTCTTGGAAAAAATTATATGAAAGTAGGAAGTTACAGCAAATAATGTATATTTAAAACTATCTCTGGGCCAGTTGCCAGTAGCTCATGCTGTAATCCTAGCTACTCAGGAGGCTGAGATCTGAGGATCCTGGTTCAAAGCCAGCCTGGGCAAGAAGATCCATAAGATTCTTATCTCCAATTAACCACCAAAAGTGGCACTGTAGCTCAAGTGGGTTGAATGAGTGCTTGCTTTGAGCTGAAGAGCTCAGGGACAGCACCTGGGCCCAGAGTTCAAGTCTCATGAACAACAAAAATAAAAATAACTATCTCTGGTCCCCCTAAATTTTTAACTAAATTATAAACCTTGCTGCAACTATTTCTTTTTTAATACCAAAAGGGCCCTGGATATCAAAATAGCAGCTGTTGGAAAGCCAGTTTGTTTGTGTAAACTAGCATTCTCTTTGATAGAAGATAACTATAACCCATTAAGAGGCTTAAGGTAAGAATTAGCTACTCCCGTAAGACTTGACTACAAATAATAATGTACCCAAGTTTCAGACTAAATTCTGCAGTCACATTATGAAACCAATACACAATGGCAAACAGGTACAACAACTTGCCAATCTGTTATATGGGATCAACAGCATTCCAGCTCTATGCCTTTCAGGTGATCCACTATACCTTTGAAAGGCTGAGGCAGTCAGGACACTCTAGAGTATCGGCTATCCTACAGGAGGTGTGCTCAGTTAGCAATCTATCTGAACCAATGACCAAACACAGCAATGATAACAAACTTCAGATGCCAGGCTAATGTTAAATTAGTTAAGTACCTAGTAGGTGTTTTATTTTAAATCATCTATTCATACATGGGAGGTAAGAACTTTTCATTAAACTATGTCAGCTAATTCCATGTGTTTAATTCCAATGAGAGCAGGGCGCTGATGGCTACTTGAGATTGAGATCTGAGGATCACGGTTCAAAGCTAGCCTGGGCAGGACAGTCTGTGAGATGCTTTTCTCCAATTAACCACAGAAAACTGGAAGTGGCGCTGTGGCTCAAGTGGTAGAGTGCTAGCCTTGAGCTGAGGACAGGGCCCAGGCCGAGTTCAAGCCTCACGAGCAACAAAATAAATAAATAATTCCAATGAGATCCATCTTTTAACATTTATGCTCATTTTAAAGTAACATATCTTACCCGTAGAATGTCTTCTGAAGGCATAGAATGCTGTGAAAACTTGTTATTGTACAGAAACAGATCATTGAAGAACGTAGTTTGCAGGGTACACCTTTCGATGTTATGTCAGCTATCCATTAACTAGTATTCCTGACAACATGTGAGCTGACCAACTAAAACTTTAACTGCATGTGTATATTGTGTCATACTGGTGATAATGTATATCATAACAATTTCTAGCAATGGCATTGTATACCATTGGAACAATTTAGTAAGGAGAACATTGGGCTTCATTTTACTACTTGTATGAAAATATTCTCAGTGGCTAATAGAAGACATTAACTTAAGTGTATATGAAGTTATCTGGTATATAAAATTATATTGACAGTGCTTGCAGTGTAGAGGCCTGTGACTGAATCCTTCACGTAGTTTATATTATAGATGGCCTCACGCTACCCAGCCTCTGCTCACTACCCAGGCTACTTGAATACCAAGCTTGAACTAACACACAGTGAAGCTCCCCAAAATACATAACAAAGAATGAATGACTTTTCTAACACCAGTTAATTATTTGTTCTTGATACTTGTATCAATAACTTCCCTGATTTAAGGAAGTTAGTATTGTCTATCTTTAAGTTTTTAATCTTTATTTTAAAAAGTCAGCTTGGTATATACGTACATGCACTGCCAACTGAAGAACATGTCAAATAAAACCCCATATAACTTCACATTTTATTCGTGAAGAAAAAAAATCTAAAGTTTTACCAGCTCCTAAAGCTGATGTTCAACTTTATTCATATTTTTGAACCAATATGAGCTCAGACAAAGCTGTATGTACATCCAAATAAGTGCAAAAGGGAAATGCTTGACAGACCCTAGGCAAATGTCAGCATGTCCAACCTAAGCTGGAGGAACAGTGAAGAATGGCCAGTGACTTTTTCACAAGCCACGGTGGCATAGTCTTTGTTTAAAAATTGCCTTTTAATGACCTCCCAAAATATTTTCGGACATAAAAGTAAAAATAGAAAGCAGTACTTAGCTTTAAAACAGGCTAAAATGTAACCAAAAGTTATATGCAATCACAGAGAAAAATAAAACTTAGCTTTTCCATTGACAGTGTTTACTACTGACAAAGATTTAAGGCTTTCAAGGTCAACTCCATAAGACATGATTCCTCTTTTGCAGAAAATAATGACAGCCTCTTTTAGGATGAGCTAGATCTTCTTAAGCTTCATTGTGACTAAAGAAGCTGGACTTGAGGGTGCAAATGTTCAGGGTTTGGTGGTAAGGAGAATCCTGTGCTGCCACTTCTATTTCTGGGTCTGTCATTGACCTGGTATTACAAGAGCAAATCACCTCATTTTCTCACTGGGTTTTAATATATGCTATGGGTGTCCTTTGGATCTATTTCTATAAATGGAGTAATATGCTGAAGAAACCAAGTAACTCTAGCAAAGAATAAAGAGTTCAAGGTGCAGCAGAAGCACCAAGAATCATTACTGACTCAAAGTCTCTCATGTGTGCTAAAAGCCAGTGATAAGCAACTTAATATTTAATTCCTTGTTTTTGATTTTAAAGAACTTCAACTGCACAATCAACAACTAAACAGCCAAGGAACAAGATACAAAAAAATAGATGACTATATTAGCGTATTCTACGCAGGGAATTCACATGCAAGGTAATTGTGTGATTTGGCACATAAACATACAAAAAAATTGATGGTTAGTGCCAGGATCAAGAGGATGAACTATGATCCAGGAGCAAACTCTAGAAAACTCAGTAATTAAGAAAAATTCCATCTACTGGACTATTTTTAGAATTCAAAATAAACGGAAAACTAAATCCATGACGGCCCAAATACATCACATTTAAAAAGAATCTAAATAAACAAATTCCATCTAGAGCCAGAGACTAAAAAATAAAATAAAATAAAATCAGTAATGCTGATTCTGCCTGCATTTGAAATCTCGATGTGGGATTTTCATCATGGATTTCTCAAAATCATTTTGAGTCGTTTAAATACTACATGAAAAGAATGCCCATCTTTATGATTGACCTTTTGGGGACTGCCTTTTATCTTGCCAGCCCAGGGAAGGAAGCTCCTGGCTCAGCTCACCCCAATCACCCAGGCCTGGGGAGGGGTCAACGGGCTCCTAGGAGCCTGCCTGGCTGCCTGGCTGCGTGCCAGGGTCCCCTCGCAAGGCCTGGGGAGGTGGGTGACAAGGCCTCTGGGGCTTCGGCCCAGCCTACCTCGCTTGTCCTTCGTGCCGTGCTTTTTGGCCAGGGCCAGTTCTCTCTGGATTCGAGTCTCCAGGTACTCTTGTTTCTTCCCCAGCATCTCCTCCGTTTCCCGAAGCCGGGCCAGGGCCTCCTGGGGGCTGAGAGCAGTTCGGCTCTTGGAGGAGCCTCTCCCTTTAAACAACTTGCCCAACTTGCTCATGGCTGTGAAGTTGGGGTGTACGGGGCAGGGGGGGGGCGGGAAGAGGGCGATCCGGAACTCTGCAGGCCACAGGTGAGCAGGGGAGCGAGAGACTTGGTGGCGGGCTCAGACCGAAAAGGAAGCGCTCCTGGGAATCAACAAGTTGGCGGGCACAGGTGACACAGTCCCCTGGGCATTTCCTGGCCGCCTCCCGGCCCCGCCCCTCGGCGCGGCTCCCCGGCCACCCCGCGGGGCGGGCACCCCATGGTCCGCCCGGGGCCAGCCGGCGCCACGCGCCCCTCCGGGAATTCAGGGCGCCGAGAAAAGTTGCCCCAACAGGGCTGTGTCTCCAGTTGCGGCTTGATCCCTACTGGGGAAGCTGTGAGAAGCTCAGAGACAAGCAAACCAATATTCCAGGGGCACTTGGAAGGGTTCTTGCCTACCTGGATATATCCAGGGGTGTGTGTGTGTGTGTGTGTGTGTGTGTGTGTGTGTGTGTGTGTGTGTGTGTGTGTGTGTGTGTGTGTGTGTGTGTGTGTGTGTGTGTGTGTGTGTGTGTGTGTGTGTAGCAAACCAATATGCCTACCTGGATATATCCAGGGTGTGTTTGTGTGTATGTGTGTGTGTGTGTGTGTGTGTGTGTGTGTGTGTGTGTGTGTGAAGCAAACCAATATGCCTACCTGGATATATCCAGGGTGTGTTTGTGTGTATGTGTGTGTGTGTGTGTGTGTGTGTGTGTGAAGCAAACCAATATGCCTACCTGGATATATCCAGGGTGTGTTTGTGTGTGTGTGTGTGTGAAGCAAACCAATATGCCTACCTGGATATATCCAGGGTGTGTTTGTGTGTGTGTGTGTGTGAAGCAAACCAATATGCCTACCTGGATATATCCAGGGTGTGTGTGTGTGTGTGTGTGTGTGGTATTTGTGACTTCCGGGACACTTGCTGGCACATGAAGGAGAGTGGACAAGCAAGGAGCTGCTAGCTCAGTCTGCTTGACTGGTCTGGTCCCTGCCTCAGTATATCTAGGCAGGCTGATGTGTGTGTCTGACTGCCTGTTGCTACCAGTGAGTCTAGATCATCTTTATGTGACTCCAAGGAGATGCTAGCCAATCAGAGCTTCTCAGTGTATGTGGTGGTTGGCTTTACTTCTGTAATTACAAATCTGAAACTTTCTGCATGATTGCCAGGGTAAGAAACAAAAACAAAAAAAAATCTTTAGACTTGGGGGTGTGGCTCAAATGGTGGACTGCCTGCCTAGCAAGTGTAAGGTCCTGAGTCCAAATTTTCATAGGGTGGGGAGGGATAAGAAAATTCAACTGGGTGCTACTCCTGTGTTTGGATCTTTGTCAAATGCCTTTATAGAGACACCTAATTTAACAATGTGGAGAATAATCTTTAAAAAAAAAGAAATTCTTTTGATCATGCTCATTATCTCAGTCCTACTCTTAGAGCAGCAAGCCGACTTTGGTCAGGCAAAAGGACAGCAATACATAATGATTATGAATAATGCCACACAACTGAAAACCTTCCAAAAAGGAGTGACCTGTGCAATTTAGTCTATGGTTCAGTTTACAAAAACTAACATGGTACACTGCACAGCACAGCCCTTTTTGCGCAACATTATAACAGCATCAGAATCTATTTGTGCTCATTACCAGTCCACTGCCAAAGGGGAAAAGAACATCCATTACCATGACAAATTCATCTTGATATCTAAGATCAATAACCCAATTTTATCTGATATTATAACAAATTAGCCAGTTTTATCTAACACTGTACATTCAACATCAAATTTCACTAAAGGATTTGAACATTTTCTAGGAGCTGAGACTCATGAACCATGCATATGAACTTACCATTTCCCAACAGCCACAACCAGCCACTTCCCATCATTTCCTACTGGTGGTTGCTATGGTTTGAATATGAAATGTCCACCCTAGGCTCAGTGTTAGAATTCTTGGTCCCCCAGTGGAGCTATTCAGGGAGGTTTTAGAAACTATAGAACACGGAGGCATGGAGGCAGTAAGTCACCAGGGCTGGTTTTTTAGAGGTGTCTGGTCCTCCCCTGTCACCATCATTGATTCATGGTAGCCATGCTACCAATACTATATTCTACCACAGGCCCAATTGCATGGGGCCCAGCAACCATGGGCCAAGCCCTCTGAAACCATAACTGGAATAATTCTGCCTCCCTTACATTACTTATGTCAAGGCATTTGAGTCACAGCAACAATAAAACTGACTAATATAGCCACCCAAAGCACAAATGGTCTGCAACACATGCTTTGCTCTTCCTTTGTGAATAGTAGCATTTTAAAAAATGATTATTATCTAAAAATTTCATGGATTTATTTGGGGACTTGTTTTCTTAATTGCATTTTATCCTGCTACAGTTCCTCTTGCTGGCAATCGATGTAAACTTTATGGAGTGTGCTCTATGTATAAAGGGCTAGACATGGAATCATCTTTCCTTCTAGGGATAGTAGTTACAGTTGGAATCTTTTGAATGTCCACCGTGTGGCAAGCATGCTGTCTGCATCATCAACAATCTCTACATGAACTCTACAAAATTGGTGTTTTTATTTTTTTTTATTTCAATAGATTTTATTTTTGTGCTGATAAGATTCTGATTAACTAAGTTATAATTACATAAAGACACCTATGTGAAAACATTTCTAGATTACACTTTTCTGGATAAATGATATTTCTATTCTAATTTGACCAACCAAGTATCAATTAGTAACTCTGTCATATTCACACAGGCAGTGAAAATGGAAGATATTTCTATTTTAAAGTCTGTGGTCTTGATGAGCATGATGATACATGCCTGGAATCTTAGCAAAAGAATCATGAGTTCAAGGCCAGCCTAGACTACATAGGGAGACCCTGACTCAGTAAAGGAACCTGGCTCAAACAATCAACAACAAAAACCTTCTTACTAGTTACCCAACCTTGTACACCCTAGGTTGAGAAGAAATTCATTAAATATTTGTTGAATTGAATCATTTGGGGTAAAGGGATTATAATGATGCATTAAATTTAGTAGATCTACAAGTATTACTGAATTTGTGATGGAGTACATTTAACTTGTCCATTATGTTAGAACTGTCTTTTGAAGTTTGGTAATTTACACTTTTTTGAAGGATGGGGCGTACTTTGAACAAGAGAAGTGGAAGTTGAAATAAGTAACTGTGGAACGATTCTTTCATCTATGTATTCATTTATCATATTCTTATTTCTTTTTTTGGGGGGGGGGTCCGGTCTTGGGGCCTGAACTCTGGGCCTGGGCGCTGTCCCTCAGCTCTTCAGCTCAAGGCTAGCGCTCTACCACTTGAGCCACAGTGCCACTTCCAGCTTTTTTCTTTTTGCTTATGTGGTGCTGAAGAAATCAAACCCAGGGCCTCATGCATGCAAAACAAGCGCTCTACCACTGAGCCACCTTCCCAGCCCCTCATATTCTTATTTCTGTCCCCAGCACTGAGGGTAGTAAGAGGGGATATGATTTAGAAGATTGAAATAGTTCTCTATTTCAACAGGACTTAAGCTTTGTGGAGAACTTACAAGTTAAATCAATTATTTCTAAAACAATGGGTTTTTGTAAGTTGAAATTCTAATAAGTTTTAAAAACAAATATGGGAACTCTTAAGAATAAAATTGGGGAACCTAGTCTTATCTTGTGATCAAAGAAGACTAGCCTGAAAAAAATATTAAAGTGCCATTTAAGTTGTAATTTGAACAATAAGTAGAAGTTAACAAAGTCTACAAAAGAAATTTGTGTTTTGATGTGAGAAAGTGCACATTCCTTCCTTTATGCATTTATTTATCATTATCTGAGTAAATTTTATATAGTCAACATGGCTCTAGATGTGGAGATTTAATAGCAGGTAGAGAATAATCCATGTATTTTTGAAGTCTACTTTCTAGTTAAGGGAAGACACTTAAGAAAGTAATGTACTAAATGTGCTGTGTGGAGAATGTTTGACTTTTCATATTATGAAAAATAAGTTCAATCCTGAGCATAAGTGTTGGAGTTTGAAGAAAAGCCATTATGGCTTGGACCTGGATATAGAAGAGGAGGAGGAGGAGAAGGAGGAACAAGAAGAGGCGATTATATTCAAAAGTAAGCAGAGTCCAGATCATACAGGGGCCATAGGGCCATACAATGCCAAGAATCCCTTACATAAAAATAAATCAGTAGTTAAAATAGTCTACCCACTAATTCATAATTCCATGGGAAAAATGTTTTACCCAAGTTAGTAGGCAGCATTTTTAGAACCACATAAAGTATGCAAAGGGAGATTCATTTAAAATTAAAAATCATTTCGTTCTGTTAATGCATAAAATCAATTGGGAAAGGATAATGCTTGCAAGCAAGTAAACCATCCAAATATATATTAGTTTTTAATCCAGCAGTAGGATGTAGAAAATAAAATTTTAAATCAATGATTTAGAAGATGAAAATAACACATTAATCTTCATTCAATATACGTTTCAAAACCGTGGTTTCATAAGAGTTCTCAGTGTCTAGTGTATTTTTCATTTTCTAGTCTCAATTGATCTTGGCTAATAAGGAGGCTGTTGTTAAAAGAATGATCTTGTTCTGGGTGATTTAGCATGGTTAAGATGGCAAAGGAAATTGGAAATTTATAAATCTGTTAAGAAGACCTCGATGTCAAACTAATTGATACATTTTGGCCACCCTTTGAAATTGCATCCATTTTTAGAATGCCAAATGAGCTCTCCAAAGCAACAGAAGAAAAATTGTCCTTTAAACATACTGCAGAATAATCATCAAATAGTTATTTATTAAGCTGCTCAACAAGCATGTACACATTCTTTCCATCCTTACAAACAAATATGGAACGCTTGATAACAATAATGAGTACAAAAGTAGTCATTAAAAAAATAATCTTGCAAAAATAAAAATTTTCCCTGACACACAATGAGAATATACAGTACCTGTGGCTGAGTTTTGTTTGGATAGTTCTTTACCCATATTTCTCATTCCTTTGTCTAATCCTAATCAGAAAGAAATGAAAGAACCTGTGGTGTGTTTTGTTTTGTTTTGTTTACTGAAAATGTTTTCCTCTCCACTCATTTAATGGATATAGAATGAGCTGTATCCTTCTACTTCAATGTCACTGTTATTACACAGCATGCTTGAAGGTGATGTTTTATACCTTCTTTTAGAATTCTGTTATACATGAGTAC